CTGGGCGCCCTGCACCGCCTGGCGGCCTCCCGGCCCCGCCACGCCCGGCTCTACCGCTTCCGCGCCGACCCGCCCACCACCACCATGCAGCGCATCAAGGGCCTCACCACCGGCTCCCTGCCCACCTTCGTCGACGTCGGCAGCAACTTCGCCTCCTACGCCATCCGCGAGGACAACCTGCTGGCCCAGCTCGTGCGCAACGGTGGGTGTGCAGCCGCGAGGGCAGCCGCCCGCCAGCCTAGGCGCTTGTGCGAACCACGCGCCCATCTGCACGCACGCGCGCATTCGTGTGTCAATACATGCATGCACGCACGTGTGCGCGCGCGTATGGGCACATGTCTTGCTGTACATAGGTACGTGTGTGCATACACATGCATGCGTACGTTCATATGCAGGCACGCATAGCCACGTGCGCGTACAGATGCGTGTGTGTGCACATGCATGCATGCACATGTGCATATCTGTACACGCGTGTATGCATGGCTGCGTGCCCTGTCCGGGAGAGAGCTGCTTTGCTGGCACGCTTCTGCTGCTGTTAGTCGTCGAGGTGCAGTCCTTTCCCCCTGCGTGGTGGGTTCATAGGTTTGGTCCCTCCCACCCCGACCTCTGAGCCAGGAGATGAAATCAGGGACAGGAGCCAGGGGGAGATACCCCCCTCGATACTTCCAGGGGCCCGAGCAGGGTGCAATGGGGTCACACTTGAGTGTCTCGCGGGGTCTGGCCAGCAGCACTTTAGTTCAGGCGTGAGCTGCTGCAGCAGCCATGTTCAGGCTCCGCATGCATTCGTGGCGGGGTTCGTGCCACAGACAGGTTCTGCCCCAGGCGCACGGCCTCATGTTGGGGCAGTCGGGTGCAGCCAGGGCCGCAGGGTGGTGACCCCGTGTTAGGCTGTGACCATGCAGAGACGCTGCTGGGGCTGGGTAAGGGGCCGGGGGCCCCTGGGAAGTTCCCTGAGAGGAGCATTGGAGACCCCCAGAGCCTGGGGGAGGCCCCTGGTTCTGTTCGGTGCTCCCATCTCTCTGTTGTCTCTCACCTGATGCTTGGGGCAGGGTCTGGCCTGGCCTGTCACAGCACCGAGCCCAGCAGCTGCCTTGTTACAACTACGTAAATCATGGGTGTCCTTTGGTGTGTTCAGTCTGTGGCCTCTTGCAGAGATGGCCCATAAGAGGGACCCTTTGTGCTGCACTGGGCGTGCGCCCAACAGGGCAGAGCTCCCCCAGCTGGCTGCGTGTAGGCCTGGAGAACAGCTCGGGTGCTGCTGACCTTGAGCCCGGGCTGGGGTGGAGATGGGGTCCCTGTCCCGATCTGGGCTTCTCCAGACTCCTGGGATCAGCACGGGAGGGTGGGGAGCGTCCCGACGCCCTGCAGGTCACAGCGCTAACTCCTGCCCCTTTCCGCAGGGAGGAGAGTGGTGTTCATGGGGGACGACACATGGGACGGGCTCTTCCCCAAGATGTTCTCTCGCTCCTACTTCTTCCCGTCCTTCAACGTGAAGGACCTGCACACCGTGGACGACGGCATCCTGCAGCACCTCTACACCACAGGTGAGCGCCTCTTCCTTGGGGCTGGGGCTGTGCCCATGTGGGGTGACGAGCCTGGCCCGGGTTGGGGGTGACCCACCTGCCCAGAGTCTATTATGGGGGCTGCCGTTTTCTTCTGAGGGGGACGTGCTGCTCCTGGCTTGGGAGAGGCCTGCAGCTGGGCTTGGGGGGCGGGGGGGAGTTCCTTCTGCACCTGCGTGACGTGATGGCCCGAGGGGCCTGGGTGCCTGCTCCTTGCGGGGAGGGGGAGATTGAGTTTGTCTTTAAAACGATCTCCCTTCCTGATGCTGGAGGAGGAAAGAGAAAGGAGTGGGGTGGGGGCTGCCTCTGCTGCTGTGGGGCTTGCGGTAGCTCCCACAAGGCGCCAAGCACTCCCTGAATGCAGAGCAGGGGGCACAGTGTCCTTGGAGAGCTCTCGGCAGCAAAGAGAGACCGGGCAAAGGTGCCCAGGGACCAGCCAGAGCCGCAGCGCCCCTGGGTGTCCCCTTCAGCGGGGAACACTGGGTGTCCTGCCCCTGTCCCAAGAGCCTGCGGGTGACAGGGGGGCGCCCAGCTGGTGGGAGAGGGTCGCCCCCAACCTCACATCCCGCCCCTCCCCTCTCTCTGTGCAGTGGATGGAGGGGACTGGGACCTGCTGATCGCCCACTTCCTGGGCGTGGACCACTGCGGGCACAAGCACGGGCCTGACCACCCGGAAATGGCCAAGAAGCTGACCCAGATGAACGAGATGATCAGGTAACCAGAGGCCAGGGGAGGGGGTGCCAGCTCACCCTGGTGCCTTCAGGACCCTGATTTTTAGATTTCATAGATTTCATAGACATCAGGGCTGGAAGGGACCTCGGAAGATCATCGAGTCCAGCCCCCTGCCCAAAGGGCAGGAAGTCAGCTGGGGTCATAGGATCCCAGCAAGATAAGCATCCAGTTTCATCTTGAAGGTGTTCAATGAAGGCGCTTGAACCACCTCCGGTGGCAGGCTGTTCCAGACCTGATGGGATATAGGGTCCCTGCATCCCCAGCCCATTTCATGGAGCCTGCACAGGGCGGCTGATGGTCTCATGGGGAGCCTGGGTGGCCTTTGTGGGCTGAGGAGCAGGGAGCACGTGCTGCAGCAGAGCTGTGGCTTGGTGAGGTGACGGACGAACCCCCGATGGCAGCGCACACAGCCCTGGGGTTGCCTCTAACGGGGTCTCAGTCAGCTGCGTGCTCTTAAATCACAGGGGATTGAGTCAGTCCTGGCCTGCTGTCCCAGGACCCTGCCCAGGGGAGGGGGCTGCGCTAGAGCTGTAGGTCTGAACTGGAGCCTGCGGGAGGGTGTGTGGAGTTGGCTTCTCCATGCCTGCAGTGGGAGTGGCCCCCAGAAATCACAAGCATTGTGGAGCCGGTGCTAGCGGGTGCAACAGCTAGTGCAGAGGCTGACGGCAGAGAGAGAACCCAGGAGTCCTGGGGCCCTGTTTGGGTCTGGGGACCCATGGGGCTGTTCCCGTGGGAAGTGGTGATGGCTCATTGCTCTCCCATACAGCTCGCTGGTGGATCATCTGGAGAACGACACACTGCTGCTGGTGGCAGGCGACCACGGCATGACAGACACTGGGGACCACGGGGGAGACAGTGAGAAGGAGGTGAACGCGGCGCTCTTCGTGTACAGCAAAACGCCGCTTTTCCGAGCTGGCCCGCCAGAGGTGAGAGCGGGGCGGCATCCATACAACCTGAGGCCCCCAGCCCTGCCAGGCAGTGTCCAGCAGGGCTGTGGCCCTGGGTCATGGAGCTTACAGGTAGCACAGCCTGTCTCCGCACACTGGCTGCAGGGGATGATTTGGGAGGGGAAGGGAGGTATGTGTTGGCTGTGACTCTCACTCCCCCTCCGGAGCATCTCCAGGGATTGAGCCCCTCTTCCCTGTGCAGGGGGGAGCTGCCCTGAGGCCCTGCCAGCCACCGGTGTGGACCCGCAGGTGCAGCACCATGGGCACCAGGGGTGTCCCAGCTCAGGATGCTGAGCATGAACCTACCAGCACCCTCAGCCCGTGGACGTGCTCAGCAGCCATGCCCTTCTCTTGTTGCCTCAGGAGCCAGAAACTGTCCCACAGGTGAACCTGGTGCCCACGCTGGCCCTGCTGCTGGGTGTGCCTATTCCCTACAGCAGCATCGGGGAGGTGATGGCCGACCTGTTCGAGGGGGACGGGGACGCTGTCACCGCTTCACTCAGCCAGCTTGCAGCATATCATGTCAACGCCAAGCAGGTAGGGCAGGGATCTCCTTGCATCGCGCACCCGCTGTTCTCCCCACCCCACGCAGACCTGCCCAGGGTCACTGAGGCAGCAGCAGCGCTGGAACCCAGGTGTCCTGGCGCCCACTCTTCTTATGGTCCTAGGTGGCTCCTCTCACTTTCTGTTGGGAAGAGCCTTTTGGACCCCGCGCTGTTAGGAGCACCTTTTGGAAGGTGCCTGCCTCAGACGTGCTTGGTAGTTAGACTGTAAAACATCCCCGGAGCTCATGTCCAAGGGGCTGAGAGCTGGCAGACCAACTGGCCAGTGATATCACTGGGTCATTGCTGTTGGCATGGGGAGTTTCCAGCAGGTCCCGCAGGGGTGGGTGTGAGACCTGATGCTGCTTGGGGATGTCATCAGTGATCTAGAAGGAAACAGCTAATGGCTGCCAGCGGAGCATGTGGCTGGCGCAGGGCTTGGTAGTGCAATAAAGAGGAGGCAGCCGGGCTCACTCAAATGTGTGCTTCCCTGTGCCTGGGAACAAGATGTGTCCTGCACCTACAGGCTGGGGCTTGGAAGGGAGCAGGATGTTTGTGCCAAGCTGGATCCAGCGTCCATGGGACTGCATAGGGACAGGTTGGGCAGCTGAGGGGCAGGTGCTGATGATGCTTCGGGTGCAGTACAGTGCCTGGGGGAGGCAGGAGGGAGCCAGTGCCCCTGCGACTGTGCTGACAGACCCCGTCTCTCCCAGGTGGACCGCTTCCTGGACTCCTATGCGCTGGCCGCCCAGGACCTGCCTGGGGACCGGCTGAAGCAACTGAAGGAGCTGTTCACCGCAGCAGCAGAGGAGCATGCCCAGCTGCTGGCCCAGGTGCAGGAGGGCCTGGTGGCGTCACCAGAGCTGGAGGCCCAGCTGGGGCGGCTGCGCGGCCACTTCCAGCACTACCTGCGGGAGGCACGGGCTGTATGCACAGCGTCCTGGGCCCGCTTCCACCCCTTCCGCATGGTGGCCGGCTGCGCCCTCATTGCCGCCTCCTGCCTGCTTTGCTACATCGCCTCTGAGCTGGCCAACGCCCTGGACTTCTACCACCACTGCTTCTACTCGCTGTTTGGGGGCCTGCTGGCAGCTGCTCTACTGGGATGGGCCCGCGTGGACCTGGACCCCATCTTGGTAGTGTCATGGGTAGCCGCAGCCTCCCAGCTGGGCTTCTTTTGGCACTGGTGGAGCCAGCGGCCGCGGCGAATCCATCTGGCTAGTGTCCGGCCACCGGTGGCCAGCATGGGGCTGTGGCAGAGGCTGCGAGCGTGGCTGGGGCCGGCGTTGCCTCTGGGCATCCTGGCCCTCCGCTGCGGTGCTATGTTTTCAGACAGCTTTGTGATAGCCGAGTCCCAGGTGGTCCCTTTCCTGCTGGCCTCCCTGGCCATGCTGTGGGTGGGGAAGCTCCACTGGGACGGCCAGCTGAGCACCCCCTCAGATGCCCCCAAGCAGCCCCCAGGCTCCCTCTCCTGCCACAAGGAGAGCTGGCCCCTGCTAGGCCTCCTGGCTGCCCTGCTGGTTTGCTTGCGCCTCTCGAGCCTCTTCCACCAGTGCCGTGACGAGGTGCCGCACTGCCAGCCCTCGCCCTGCTTGGCGCCACTGTCCAGCCTGCGCAGCCCCCAGGCCAAGAACCTCTGCTACCTCCTCTGCGTAGCCTCGCTGGTCGGACTGGTGTATGCAGTACGGCGCTGGCTGCGCCACTACGGCAACCTCAACAGCACCAGCCCCCTGGTGCTCTTCGTACGCTGGGGCTTCCCGCTGACGGCCTTCTGCATTGCCTGCTACTGGGCTGTCACCTCGGGCACCGAGGACACGCTGGGCAAGCTGCAGGAGCTGGTGCAGGCCGCGCTGGTCACCTTCCCTCGTGCCGTCTACGGGCTGGTGGCTGCTGGGCTGCTGCTGGTGCTGTGGAAGCCGGTGACGGTGTTCGCCCAGGACAGTCGGGCTGCAGCCGGACCCATTGTGACCCCCTTCCAGGGGGCACCCAGCTCCGAAGCCGACCTGCTGCACGTCATCTCACAAATCTACCGGAGGATGCAGGAGTCCCTGAATAGTCGGCTGGAGGGTGGGAGTCGGTGGGCAGCAGTGGCTGCCTATGGGCTGGGCAGCGTGTACTCAGCTGCCCTGGTCATCACCCTCACGCTGCTGGGCTTCTTCCTGCTGCTGCTGCACAGCGAGCGCATGAGCCTCTCCTTCCTGCTCCTCTTCCTGGAGGCCTTCATACTGCTACGGCTCCATGTGTCTGCTATGAGCCTGGCCGGCGAGGCGGGTGAGTCAGGTGCTGGGTTCGCCCGGACAGCCGCCTTGGGAATCAAGGAGGGCCCCACTCCAGGCAGGTGGTGTCAGCAGTCCCCTCTTCCCGGGCAGGGAAGGGGAGTCCCAGCTGTGCCGAGCTGGGTCCTGTGGCTGTGAGAGCAGCCCCAGCATGGGTCAGAGGCCTCCCAGGCTGTGGAGAGCTTTGTAGCCCCTTGACTGGGTGGCTAGGGACCACTGGGGGGCCCTGGATGCCCTGGGCTGGACTCATCTCCTTTCTTGAAGGAGAGGTGAGCAGAGGGACTCTGGTGTCACTCCCCTTGTCTGGGTCATCCATACATCATGCCAGGATGCTGTCCCAGTGCCTGCTCCTGGAAGACTCCTGTTACGGCCCTAGGCCCAGTACTTAGTGGCACAAGCTCAGCTAGGGTTATTACCCCCAGAGCCCCTTATAATACACACAGCCAGTGTTGTAAGGCCCCGGGATCCAGGGGCCTCAGTCCCTCCTTTATGTAGCTGTCACCTGTCTCCACAGTCATCCTTGTTCCCACCACAAGATAAGACGTTCCCACTGAATAGGAAAACGTGCTGACTGTGTCACTTTAATTCTGGTACATCCTAGCCCTCCTTTGCTGTTGAGCCCAGGAGTGAGGGGCATGGGCTCTGCATCAGAGCTTCCCAGACTTTCAGTGCTGGAGGCTGCAAGGGAGAGAGAAATGGGAAAACCCTGGTCAGACCCCGGTCTCCCCCTTCCAGCCTCCTCTCTCTGCTGCTGTGTGACACAGGAGGTGGGGCAAATTGGACTTAGGGATTGACCCAGCACATGGCAGCTTTTATTTTTTGGGGTCCAGGCCAGTCTTACTAGGCTTCCTGACCCATTAGCTTTGGGAGAAGCCCGCCCAGCCTGGTTTTCCCAGTGCCTTTTAATTTAGTGCATGTAGCAGCGTGGGGCAGTGCCCAGTTCTGCTCAGCGAGATCTGCTTTCCGCAGAGCCTTTACGTGAGCTGTGCATGCAGCGATCGAGGACGGTGCTAATGCCTTTTCCAATGAAGCCCTTGGCAGTGAGGCAAGGGGTTAGCATGTGCCTTGTCTGGGCTAGGGGGTCCTGGGGAAGCATCACGAGGCCTGCTTCTCACCCTGTTCTCTCTCTCTCTCTCTCTCTCAGAGCCCTTCGTGGTCCCCTGGAACGCGGTGATCGCCTGGGTCCTCGCCACCGCCCAGTTCTTCTATTCCACAGGCCACCAGCCCATCTTCCCCGCCATCCACTGGAACGCGGCTTTCGTGGGCTTCCATGAGGACCATGCCACCCACCTGGTACCTGCCCTGCTGGTGGCTGCCAACACCTTTGCTTCCCACATCCTCTTTGCAGGTAAGTGGATTTCTTCTTGGGCGCTGGGGAGCAGGACCTCAGCCTCTTTCCCAGCCTCCCAGGCAGGCTGTTGGGCTCAGTGCTGCAGGACGCAGCTCGGGACGTGGAGGGGGGCGGTCCTCTTGGACCCCGAGCAGGAGTCTGCAGACTGGCTGGAGAGCTGCACATCGCTGCTGTCCTGGGAGGGGCTGGTGTCCGAGGTGCCATCAGTCCCTGGTGGTGGTGGACGGCAGCCCCGGCCTCCAGACCCCTATGTTGCCGGGGCTCCTGCCAACTCCCTGTGTCTTTGTCCTTGAGGTAGTTGGCTGCCCCCTGCTCCTGCTCTGGCCGTTCCTGTGTGAGACACCCGGCTCCCGGCGGAAGAGGCTGAAGAAGGACCCTCAGGATGAGGAGCAGGAGCCGCTCATGGAGATGAGGCTGCGGGAAGCCCCGGAGAGGTTCTCGGCCGTGCTGCTGCAGCTGGGGCTCAAGTACCTCTTCGTCCTTGGCATGCAGGTACCGGCAGGGCCAAGCCCTGCTCGCTGGGCAGGGGGCAGTCAGGGAGGAAGGCAGTCTCCAAGTGGTGGGGTCCAGAGAGTTAATGACCTGCTACCTGCCTGCACATGAGGTGGTTGTGAGCCTGTCTGGGGCCCAAGGACACGGGGGAGCCTTGGTATACCTCCTGGAGGCACGGCAGCTGTGGTAGACTACAGGGTGGGAGCGGGGGAAGGAGTGCTCAGGTGGTGCTGAGCTCCTGACCTCGGCGGGGGGATTCTCCTGCCCAGCCTGGCTCCGGGCTCTCCTCGTGGCCCATCCGAAATGGCTCTGGGCAGCCAGGGCTCTGCATGGTTCCCAGAGATGTGGCTGAGACAGGCTCCTCCATGGTGACCGCCTCTCTCTCTTCTCCGGCAGCTCCTGGCCTGTGTCTGCACCGCCATGATCCTCAGGAGGCATCTCATGGTCTGGAAGGTCTTTGCTCCCAAGTGAGTCCCCGAGGCTGCTCTGGGCAGGGGGTCGATCCCTTGTTCTGGAGGGGGAGGGAGGTGAACACTTGCAGGCCATAGCTCCGGTGGGGGAATGTCTCCCCATCAGGGGAGAAGTGCTGGGGAGGAAACGAATGACCCTCATGGAACAGCTCCCAGGTGCGCTGGCTGCTCCCTGACAAGGGCTGAGCAGTGACCTCTCCATGAGCCCTTGAGGGCCGTGGCCTGCGGGGTGGGCAGCTGGTAGAGCTCCTATAGTCTTGCATCCCTGGCTGCACTCCCATCATCCGTGGGGCTGGGGGGCTGCATGCTCCTGGGTGCTAGAGGGCTGCGTGCCCCCAAGGTGGAGGGAGCCGGGGAGGCCATGTCCCCCACAGGGTCCCGGCTGCAGCGCCATCTCTGTCCCCATCCTGCCTACAGGTTCCTCTTCGAGGCGCTGGGCTTCGTGGTGAGCTACGTCTGCCTCCTGCTGGGCATCTCCCTGGTGCTGCGTGTGGACTGTGCCATCAGTGCCTGGTACAGGCAGCTCGAGCCCAGGTAGCAGCTGAGCCGCTGGGAGGGAGCAGGGAGCCCAGTGCATCTGTCCCCTCCCTGCCGTGTGCCCTGCCTTGGCTGCTCCTGCTTCCCTGCCGTGGGGGGCTGCAGGCCGGCTTTCGCTCGCAGAGTCCACGAGCACAGAGCTGGGTGTCTTTGCTCCCTGCACTGGGGCTGGAGGCCGGCTGTCTGCCCTGGTGATTGAGGGACCAGCTGGGTGGGGGAAGGACACATCAAGCCTGTCCCTGAGCTGATCAGTAAAGGGCAGTGCAGCCTGCAGTGGCCGCCATGGACCGGCCAGACTTTTGAAGAGGGGGACCTGTGCAGCGCATGCAGCTTGGGAACTGCATCCCCAGCCTGGGCAGCAGCTGCCCCTATGAGACTGCCACCCCTGTCTGCTGCCCGGGCTGAGCTCTGCCCCCACCAGCCCCTTTCCTCCTTGTCTTCCTCAGCCCGTGGAAGGGCTCTGCATGTGTGCACCCCTGGGTCTGTGTGCATGGGTGTGTGCATGGGTTTGTAGCTGGAGGAGGCACAGGGTGGCAGGGCCCAACCGTGGTCTGTGTGGCGCTGCTTCTCGAGATGCAGCTCAGTTGGTGGGGGAGGGGACAGCCGGGTCGAGGCCAGTGTGCCCTGGGCAAGGCCCTTTCTGAACCAGCAACCCCTTCTCCACCTCCTCAGATCCCAAACCAGCCCCAACCCCCAGCTCTAGAGCCCCCAGCGGGGCTGTCTGATAAGTCATATCCGCCTGGGTAGGGCAGCAGTGGGCTGGGGTCTTCTCTGGCAGGGCTTGGCCTGGTCTGTCTGAGCAGAGGGAACTCCTGGGTGCTGTGAAGCTAGGCTGTAACCCCCGTGCCCAGGCAACTCCCCCAGACCCCTTCCCTTTGCCTGCTGCCACTGTTACTCCCGGAGGTGGCACCTTGCTCTCCGCTTAGCCCTGCAACAGCTCCTCGGTGGTCTTGGCCCTTGCCATCTCCCCCTGCGGTGGGGAAACGATCCTGGAAGCTGTACAGGGCAGGACAGGGCTTGGAAGGGGCTGTCTCTGCTGGCGGGACCCATGGAGTTGCCCACTTGGCCCACCCCCCACACGACTTGCTGACACTGCTGGGGAGACCAGCCAGGTCTGGCTTCAGCTCCACAGCTGTGCCCACGAGCGTGTGGTGCAGCCAAGGGGCCCCTCTTGCCGTGGCCGCAGTGCTCAGCTCTTCGCAAGGGGGTTGAGCTCTGCACTTGACCTCTGGCGGGCAATGCACAGGCTCACCTGCTACAGGGCTGTTCTCTGCGGTGCCCAGCTGCTCCTTCAGCCCTTGCACGGGGTGAGCAGGGGCCGCTCTGAGCATCTTCCTCTGCAGTGTGGGAGCTCCTGTCACCGCGTGCAGCCGCTGCCTGACCTCTGCCCAGCCTCAGCAGACGGTACTGGGAGCTCTGAGGCTGTGGCTGGCCTGACATCCCTGCTGCTGCCGGGACTGTGCTGTGCTCTCCCCTTCCCAGCACAACTCGGAGCCCTGTTCATTAAGGCTTTCATTAGACGGCCAAGCCCTCTGCGACCTTGGTCTGGGACCTCGGGGCACCTGGCACATGTGAGTGAGCACCGCCCCCAGCGCGCCTGCTCCCATCAGGGCTGGATTACCCCACACCCAGGGCATGCGTAGCTGCGACTTGGGCACAGCCATGTAAGGAAGCAGTGGCTGAACCCAGAAGTCTTGGCTCCACAAGACCCTGTTCTTGTCCCCACCGCTTTGCTAGCAGGTGCCATGTCCCAGGTTCTCTCCACCCCCCTGGCTTGGGGGAGAGTCCTGTACAACTGACCTGGACTCTTAAACTCCATGTTAGTTAGGCTCTTTAGGGGTATGAGCGCTGACGTGGGAGCTCAGGCTCCCCAGTTTCCCCATCAGTGTAACGGGACCCCTCACCAGAAGGGCTCCTTAGACCCTGCAGTCGTGCCAAGAAGCCCCCAGCTGAAAGGGGGCCCTGTTGAGCCAGTCCCTCCTGAGAGGCGGACTAGGCTTCCACACCAAAGGCCTTAAAGCCCGGCGGTTGTGCAGCACACCAGGAGCCAAGACTGCACTCGTTGCTCGTGGTATTGCCTAGCCTCCCCCTGAGCCTGCTGGCTGCCTTGGGAGACCACAGGCAGTCTCCGCTGAGCCTGGGGGCACAGGGTGCCAATTGCTGCCATGAAATTGGCTGCACTGCTGATTTAAGCTCTGGGGCTGACATGCAGAGGAGTGGGGCAGTGGGCCAGCCACGGGCAGGGCTGAGCATCCTCCGGAGCATCGTGCTGCTGCTGTCCTACTGCCAGCTTTCACCCGTCCCTGAAACAGGGGGAGAAGTCCCTGCAGAGACCCCCAAGCAGATCCAGGCTTGCCCCCAGGCAGGGGTGGCAGTGGGTGAGGACTTGGGGCAAGGCCCAGTTTCCTTGTGGGTGTCTGTGCGCTGTCCCCCAAGGCACCGCTCGCAGAGACCCCCTGTTTTTGGGGTGCAGGGGCAGCCTGTCCTGGGCTCTCCAGATGGGCCGGGCTGGTACCGGATCCTGCAGTCGCGGCTAGATGATGCATTTCAGTGCATTCCTCAGCCCGTTCGGTGATGCTGGAAGGGTCTTTTCACATCCTCAGTTTGCTACTTGCCGGTGCCTGCAGAATAGGGCCAGTCCTAGCCTGGCCACTGCTGCCCGCTTTGCTCTGGTAGTGGGTGGCCGGATGCTCCTTGGCAGTGACCCTGCCTGGCCATGGCGGGCTCTGTCCATCTGCACAGGAATGACTCCATCGCAGCCCCTCCCCGGTGCATGCCCAGCTGCCAGCAGGGATGGCTGGGAGGTCTTGGTGCGTGCCTAGTTTGTACAGCCTGCAAATCTGCAGGGATCCCGCTCCCCTGCAGGCCTGGGATCCGTGCCAAATAGGACTAACCCCAGGCCTCTGTCCTGCCTGGCTCATGGCACCAAGGCCTGAGATTTGCACTGATTCCCCGGGGTGGCGGATCTCAGCACTCAGCCCCTTCCCTTCTGCTCATTCCTTTCTGCGAAATGGTTTGACCATCTTTGCAAAGTGCTCACCTGGCCGCTGCTGCCCCAGGGAGAAGCCAGGCAGGCCAGTGCGCAAAGTCCACAGCTAGGGACCAGGAGTCACTCGTCTCCTGGCTGGGGAGCAGCACAGGGCACCTGCTTCTGCCTTTGCATGCCTCGAGTTCCCTGTTGCTCTGCCGCACTTTGAGAGCTCTGCATGCAGCTGGCTGCCGAGGGGCTGCGCTTTCCCGGGCAGCTCTCAGTATCCGCTTGTCCCTTCCTTTGCTCCTGCGGTGACCAAACCCCCTAGGGGGAGGTGATTCCTGTGGCTGCCAATGAGAGGGTCCTGGATGGGCGAGGTGGCTGCAACCTGCCCCATCCGGGCTCCACCCTGGGCTGCTTCCATCCTCCAGAGCCCTTTGGCTTGTGCTCTGGATGGAGGGGTGAGACATTGGTAGGCCCAGCTCTGCAACTGAGTCACTGTGACCCCCTGCAAGTCGTTTCACCTCTCGTGCCTCAGTTTTGCCTCTCTGTAAAATGGGGATACTACTGACCTACCTCACAAGGGGTGCCGTCAGGCAGAATCGTCTGTAAAATGCATGGAGATCCTCGCAGATGGGGTTGGAGAAGGGTAATTATCATTAAAGTTATTTAATTTTTCCCGAATAATTTAATCGGTGGTGGGGAAGGTTTGCTTAAGGCATTTGACTGTTGCTATCTCCTACGCGGATCCAGGTTGGGTAACGCATGGTTCTGGGGCCTGGCTCCCCCCAGCTGGGCCCCCACTTGTGACCTGCCCTCCAGCAGGAGCAGAGGTAACCGACTGAGCCTGGGTCCATGCTGCTGCAAACTCAATCGTTGCCAATAAAACATGAGATCAAAAGCAAGGAGACTCGGCATCTTCCTACTGGGTCTGCTGGGAGCTGCCCATCAGGGGGCCGAGGCGTTACTCGCGGGGAGGGGGCACAGTCCAAAGGAGGTGAAGGGAAGGGCGTGCAGCGGTCGCCTCACCAATGCAGCTGCATGCACAAAGGTCCTGTGTTAAGCTTGGAGGGGGGGAGACAGCAGGGAGCGAGGGGGCCGGGAGCATGGCTGTGGGCACTCTTTGGGGAAGAGGGGCTCCCCTGAGGCTGCACAGCCTGCTGCCCCCAACCTAACTGCCCCCAAAACTGCATTTAAAGTAGAAGAACCGTGACAGGGGATTGTGAAAAGGCTCCTTACTGCAGCCTGGCCTGTCTGTGGCAGGTGAAGGGGCTCTGGCCTGGGTTAGCCCCTGCTCACGGGGTCTGTGCCGCACAGGCCAGACTCGGTGCCTGGCTGCTCCTGTCTGACACACTGAGCAGGTTGCAGAGCCTGGAGAAGGGGTGTGTCAGGCCCAGGGGATGCAGCAGCCCCGCAGGGCCCAATCCTGTAGTGCTGCATGCGCCACTGCGCACGAAGCCGGACCTGCTGCAGGTCCCTGTCCTGCCTCAGCCGTTGTGGCGCTGCTGCCCCTTGCTCACGAAGCACCTCTTGCAGTGCCCGTGCCATTGCCACCCCGTATATTAGGAGTGTGTGTTAATGTGCGTGCTTGTAGGTGTATATTGGGGAGGGGTTAAAAGTGTGCTCTATGTGTATATTGTGTGCGGGTGTATATTAGGTGTGGGGAGGTGTGTAGGTGTATATTAGGAGTGTGCATAGGGGTATATTGGCTGTGTGTGAGCGTGTGTGCCTGTATGAGTATATTATGTGTGATGGGGTATATTAGTTGTGTTAGTGTGTTAATGTGTATATTGTGTATAGGGGTATAATGGAGGTGTGTCTTAACATGTGCACATGATGTATATTGGGGGGGTGTTAATGTGTTGTAGGTGTATAAGAGGTGTGTGTGCATGGAATCACAGACAAGGAGGATTGGGAGGGACCTGAGGAGGTCACATCTAGTTCAACCCCCTGCTCCAAGCAGGACCAGCCCCAACTGCATCATCCCAGACAAGGCTTAGATTCATAGATGTTAGGGTCGGAAGGGACCTCAATAGATCATCGAGTCCGACCCCCTGCATAGGCAGGAAAGGAGGCTT